CTACAATTTTTTTTTCAAATTGAAGCCCAATAACAAGTAAAATGTTCATTGAGTCTCACCCTACTGAAGATAGGACACGTGAACTCCCCTTTCGTCAACCCCGTTGACATTTAACCACAGAAATTAATACAGTGTATTAAAAAACACTGTATCATTGGACTAGGGAGGTTATGTGACATTACAGAAGCTTGTTATGCGTTTGGAAACTTGATTTAGTGATTACAATTAAAAGTGTAATAATAATGTAAAATAAATAACCTTTATGTACTGTACATGTCCTATATTTGATGATAGTAGAGCTCTAACACTACAGATTTGTACAATTTAATTGTTCAGATATACACACCTCTTTGTAGTAGATGGAATGCAGATTTCTCAGACAATAAATTAGTCGTTGACCTTCTGGATGAGAGAATTGTATTAGTAAATTCTTCTTCCATTAACTACCTATCGTCTTTAAATACCAAAAGAACAGACAAACAAACAGACACAGTTTTTTTTTTTATTTACAAAATAAAATTATTAGAAAAAGACGTAAATTCTAAAGGGAGAAAATTGAATAAATTATATTTAATTTTTAGGTTTTTTTATATTAATATATACTTCATCTTTTAACCATTTTATGTATGTTAAATTCTAATAAGAAGTATTGAAATATATTGTATAAATTGCTATAGAGGAGACATTATAATATGTCAGAAACGTAATAATTAAAGGCACTTGTTTAGTCTTGTGTAACTCCCTTCATTTATCATCACTACTAACAATACACGGGTGTGTCGTGTTCGTAGCGCCATCTGGACGTTAAAATTCAAACTAAATATAATAAAAAGTGAATTCGTTTTGTTCACTTTAACGTCATTATCACTCTTTCTCCTAATAAAACTGCAAGAATGACGTAAAATTGATGTAATAGCTTACATTATTCGGACAAAACTAATGTGCATTACTGTAAACAGAGGAAATTTAAACTAATTTATCATTTTTCTTCATAAATTAAAGATAATTTTAATAATTTCAGCAAGAAAAATCCCATTAACTCCGATTATTTAAGAATTAAAATTTAATTTGTTTATGTTACTTCCTCTGTTTATACGTCGAACACCGCCTTAGGTTATGTAAATACGTTGTTGTAGATGTAAAAAAAAAAATATATATATATACAAAATTCACTTTAAAATGTATCGATTTAACTCAAAATAATGTGTATTTTATAAAAATTATAATTTTGAGTAAAAGAATTAATTGTTTAAAATCTATATAATAATATATGCTACAATTCACAGTCTCTATAGAAATTATTTCAACATAATTTCGAATTAAATTATTGATTAATTAATAAATATAAAAGAAATTTAAATTAATTTATTTAATTTTTATCATTGTTTATTTAACAGAATCTAAATTAATCATGTACAGGTTAACCAACTCGCATAATCAACCCGCCTACACTCTGATTTAATCTTTAATTAAAGTCGTAATTTCTAAGTAAAATAGTCATTTCTTTACGTTAATTTAAAAAAAGTGTATTGAAATAATCATTAAATTTAATTGAAATTTAAAAATTTAATACTTTTATAATGATTAAATTCCTAAAAACATTAACAAATAGTAAGTGTGTAACAAGACTTTCCATACTATTACAGTTTACTTTTTTACCTAAAGAGAGACCCAGAGGGCTTAAACCTCTTAAACTTGTAATAAATTAAGAAATTTAAATGTTACAACATTACTTATATACAATATTTAAGAGTCTATTCTTAATTCACAGTAGTACAGGGATGACTCTTGGTTTGTACGTTCTAAATTGAGTATACCTAATATCTCTTCTAGTTACGTTGTCTTCACCTTTTTTTAACATTAAATGCTATAGTTTTTGCCGTGTTATTGTTATTTTTAAATAGGATTATTAATGTAGAATTATATCTGATGGTGGCTACTTTATCTTCATTGTGTTTGTTGTATTCTCCCATCCTGCTGGAGATTCATCCATTTTGACGCTATCCAGATATTTTTGAGTAAAGTATTAATTTGTAGCTTCCTGCAAACAGTTTTGACAAGAAACATTTCTATATTATAGCTGTCATTAGTTGTTAAAGTGGGTGAACGAAGTCGTTCCCCCCCCCACAAACAGACATAAACACACAATAACACCCAAGCATAAATATTTAAACAACAACGTTTTTAAAGATATTCATAATAATTTAACATTATTTAACATAATAATGACATTAAACATTGTTCTGAGAACAATTTAAATGGAAACTTTTTAAAGTTAGTTTCTACTTTCGATCGTTGGATAGTAAAATTAATTACTTTCTCTGTTACTAATGATAGAAACAGCTCTTATGTAAATGAATTTTAAGGTCATTTAAAATAGAGTAAGATTGAAAAGTTTAAATATAACTTGCCAAGAATTCATTCTAATAAAGTTTTAAACATTTTAAAAACTTCAGAGAGAAAAAGTAATTTTTAAAAATATTTTTAATTGGTAACTCGTCTTAAAAGTAAAAATAAAAGCATTAAGATAACAACAAGAATGACCTCAAGAAATAAAGAAAAAAGAAAGATTAAGTAACATATGAGCACCCTTATACGAAGTTGATACGAGGAAAATTCTCCTCAATAAAAGGTGCAAAATTCAGCTTAATTCCAAAAACAGTATGGAGACATATAAACACGTGTAAACACTAAGTATTGATATAAAATATATAAACGTTCCCTATGATCGTTCAGTAGTTAAAACATTGTAGTGCTGAATCATCACCAAATAAAGCTGCATCATTTGTACAATTACTTTCGACGAAGCTAAGTGTTAGAAAGACCGATTACCTCATGTGGAAGATGAAAACTTCCACTAAATCCACAGCATCATCCATCATGAATTCCTTCGAGTGTATGGAGTATTCATCATCTTCAAGATGATGAATACTCCATACAACTTGATGAATGTATGAATACTCCATACATTCTTGAAGTCCGTATTCCAAGCCAACAATCTTCATTTTTATGTTCAAGTCCACAATCATCCAAGAAAAAATAATCTTCTGCATTGGCGCAGGTTGTTATTTGCTAATTGAACCTTGCAATTTGACAGTATAATCAACGTTGAAAGGATTCTTCTAAGATTATCACACGGATAGGAAGAGGAAGATGAAGAAGAGTGTTAGGATAAGGCACGTGTAATCTGCCAAAGGAAAATACATCTCGGAAGGACATTTAATGGGAAAATGGCACCTATTTGGGTGCTAATTTATAGAGAATTATGACAGCATCAGTTTACAAAAATGAATTATTAATTAATTCTCTTAAAGTGCATTTTTTAATGGGTACGAGAATTAAATACACCTGCTACTTATCGACATCCTTCACTATAATGATCTAAAGTGTCAGAATTATCTAAAATATTACACTGTTTATTGATATAATTAAATATAATTGAATTACAAATTTTAATCATTTCTAATGTAAAAATAAAAACACTTATATCGTATTTAAACTTTTACAATTAACCTCCATATATAGTATTTTTCAGCATATAGGGCGTAGTTTTTTTTTAAAAATTCTTGTGAGAAATAAGGAGGCGCATTATACATGGGAAGTAACATAACTTTTTCTTTTGTGTATTTCACTTCAACTAAATAACTGAAACAATTCAAATTAAAATATTTTATTAAAATTTTATATCTAAATGATAATGGCAACAGTAAAAGAATGATCACTGTGTAATTATTATGCACTGATGTTTCATTTTGCCATAAGCAGTATAATTGGTATAATTTGATAGATTAGTTAATAAAATAAATTTCAGTGTTTTATATATCAACGTTTAACAGTACGATTATACGTTAATTCTATTACAAAAGCTACAATAGAAAATCCATATCCGGCCTCGAGAAGAATTAAACAACTTAAGACGTCGTCAATAGATAAAGGATGAAAATTGTCTTTAGCAATTTCTTTTGTAGACGGTGGAATAATCTCTGTCACCAACTTCTCGATAATACCGGTGTCTCTCATCCATCCAAATCTAAAAATAAGCAAGAAAAATATGTATATGTAACATATTACTTTTCATGTAAGAAATTAGGATCGTTAGAATTATAAGAAGAAGAAGAAGAAGGCATAGCTGATTTTATGGCTGAAATATGTAATGACACGTTGCATGAAAAACATTTGTCATGTATTGAAAGAAATTGTATAGTGTCAGTGTCTATAAGCAAACAACAAAATGTATCGACAAATCAAACTACATTTTGCGTTTCTTACACAATATAATTTTTTATTATTAAATAAACACGAAAAAAATATTCGTATGCTTTGAGCGTCATAACTACTCATAAAATTTCCTTAGAAATCGTAAAAAAAATAATAAAGATTAATAATACTTTTACGTTCCTGGCTGTTATACATAACAGAGGGCAAGTATAGCGATTGGTCAAAAAATGAGTTACAAGACCTTTACATTTTTGGATTTAGGACACCTTAAAACATCAAAAAATGCGAAAAAAGTTTATGTGCTTTTTCTATATCAGTGAACGTTAGTGTATGTGTGTGTGTTTGTGTGTGGGTGTGGGGGAAAAGAATCATTTGATTCACTGTTTCGAAGCCTAATAACTCATGTGCTTTTCGTCGAAAATTTATGAACATTTGTAGGGAGATATAACCATTAAAAAGTGGATGGTGGGGTGATGGATGTAGCCACCCCGCGGATATTATGTTGTTTTTTGTTATTTTCATATTTATGTTTTATAAATTTATTATTGTTTGAATACTCCATAATTTAATTATATCTAGCTTTTTTTATACGTTTTTTTCTACAACTGTAATTACTTAAATTATTAATAAACTAGCAGGTGGGCCCGGCGTTGCTCGGGCAAAAGTAACGATGAACAATGAACAGCTCAAGAAAAAGATTATGAAGAAGTAAAGGAAAAATATATTCAAGCACGATCCAAATTATCATCATTAATCGACGAAAAGGCTCCAATAACAGAGGCATCAACACAGGCATCACCGAGACAGTCGAATGCATCATTTGAAGGGCAGGCAATCTCCGCGTCGATAAAATTACCAAAAATTGAACTACCAACATTTGACGGAGATTATTTAGAATGGATCAAGTTCAAAGACTTATTTTCAGCAATAGTGCATAACAATGCAACTTTAACAAACGCACAAAAACTTCATTACCTTAAATCAGTTTTAAAGGGAGAAGCTGAACAACTCCTACACTCCATTGAAGTCAGTGATGGTAATTATACAGAAGCATGGAAGATACTGCAAGATAGATATGAAAATGAACGACAGATTATTAACAGTCATCTTAAGGCTCTTTTTCAACAGCCACGTGCAAGGACTGATTCGGCGAGTGAAATCAAACGACTGCTAGACACTACTGTAAAACATGTCAGAGCATTAGCAGTGTTAAAATTGCCGACAGATCATTGGGATCACATTTTGGTTTATACATTAAGCAACAAACTCGATGATGAAACAAGAAAACAGTGGGAATTAAAGGCTACAACGACTACATTTCCTACATTCAATGAGTTGAAGCAATTTCTGGAGCAGAGATATCGTGCTCTAGAGATTTCCGTGAGCAATATGTGGAAACAAAGAACACAACAAAACATAGGAAAACTATCAAATACACTCAAAGCTCATAGTGTGACCGTTTTAAGTTGCCCAGTTTGCAAGGAGGCACATCATGTTTTTTACTGTCCAGCGTTCCAGAAACAGAACGTGAAAACTCGTAAGGTCACTATCAAGAATGCTGGACTCTGTTTTAACTGTTTTAAGGGTAATCACTCAGTGAAAGACTGTAAATCTACATCTACATGCAAGCATTGTCGTAAGAAACATAACACCATGCTACATGAAGACGAATCTCCCGCTCAAGTTTCAGCATCAAACGCAGCATCTTCTTGTATAACAGCGAATTGCAACACTAGTGAAGTGATTATTACACACCACGCATCTGAAACTCAACAAAAAACTGTCTTGTTAGCGACGGCAGTGGTAAATGTGATTGACTCGTTTGGAACCAAACATAAAGCTAGACTACTACTAGATAATGGATCGCAGTCATCATTTGTTAGTGAAGCGTTTGTACAAAGAACAAGATTGCCGCGAGAAACTGGAAAATTAAGAGTTATAGGTCTGGGTCAAACAGATTCTGGAGTTACGAAGGGTATAGTGAAGCTACAACTTCAGTCGATATATGACCAGTTCTCTTTACAAATTAACGCATTCGTATTGCCGAAGCTTACAGGTATTCTCCCAGCAGTAAAGGTTAACATTTCAGACTGGAAGCATATTAAGAATATAGATCTAGCAGACTCAGCATTCAACAAGCCTCGTGAAATAGACATTCTATTAGGAGCAGATTATTATCATGATGTCTTAACATCCACGCCAATAGTGAAGGAGTCAAACCGTCCTTATTTACAGCTCACAAGGTTTGGATGGGTAGTCTCAGGTCCTGTGGGTCAGCAACTTGAAGACAAGGTGATCTGCAACTTTGTTACGTGTAACACAGATAAAATACTAAAACAATTTTGGGAAATCGAAGAGGTAGAAGCTACACAAAAAATGTCGGCAGAAGAAACAAAATGTGAAGAACATTTTCAAAAAACTCATCGAAGACAAGAAAATGGACGCTATTCAGTCTCATTTCCCTTTAGGGAAGAAAGACCAACGTTAGGAGACTCCAAGCAAATGGCATTTCGTCGGCTTCAGGCATTAGAAAGAAGACTAGAAAAGGATCCGTACATTCGTACTCAATACAATGATTTCATGAAGGAGTATGAAAATAAACACCACATGTCTGAAGTCTCAACTACTGAAGAGTGTTACTATATACCTCATCATTGCGTCATACGAGAAAGCAGCGAAACCACGAAGCTCCGTGTAGTTTTTGATGCCTCAGCCAAGTCATCGAACAATAAATCACTAAATGAACAAATCTGTGTGGGACCTAAAATCCAAGATGATATATTTGAAATCTTGCTTCGTTTCCGTACGTGGAAGATTGCTATATCGGCAGACATAGAAAAGATGTTCAGACAGATATCTATGAACAATGAGGATAGAAGATGGCAACGCATTTTGTGGAGATCATCACCAGAATTGCCAGTGAAAGAATATGAACTGAACACAGTAACGTATGGTACCACATCTGGTCCGTATTTAGCTACAAGGACCTTGAAACAACTGTCGATCGATGAAAGAGAACATTTTCCTGAAGCGTCGACAGTGGTTGAACGTGACTTCTACGTGGACGATTTAATGACAGGTAGAGACGAAGGCCAGGAGGCAGTTTATTTGTGTCAACAGCTTACAGAGATGCTAAATAAAGGACAATTTTATCTTCGCAAGTGGATCTCAAATGACAGGACAGTGATATCAGCCTTACAACAATCTGAGAGTACTGACAATCATCACATTAAGGTATCTGACTTAACGAAGGCCTTAGGTCTTAATTGGAACACTAAGGAAGATATATTTTACTTCGTGTTATGTAAATTCTCTAGTCAACCACCTACAAAACGTACTGTAATTTCAGACATCGCACGACTATTTGATCCATTGGGTTGGTTAGCACCAGTCACAATCAAGGCCAAAATGATGCTCCAACGCCTTTGGACAATTGGAACAACATGGGATGAATTGCTACCTACAGTCATTGCAGAACAATGGAAAGGCTTTAGGGCTGAACTTCAAACATTAACAGAAATAAAAATACCACGTCATGCTATTGACAGAAAATATCCACTTCAACTGCATGGGTTTGCTGACGCATCTGAACGAGCTTATGCTGCTGTCGTGTACAGCAGGCAACGAATTCAGGGAGAAATTGTAATCAAGATACTCTGTGCAAAGACTAAAGTGGCTCCATTGAAGGTTGTGACTCTTCCTAGATTAGAACTCTGTGCTATACAACTCTTAGCTAAGCTAATGCATCGAGTGAATCAACAATTGCAAATAAATAAAGAAGACGTTTTCGCTTGGTCAGATTCAACTATAGCTTTGTCTTGGATTAAAAGTGAGCCTAGAAATTGGAAAACTTTCGTGGCAAACCGAGTAAGTGAGATTCAGACTTATCTTCCTCCACAACACTGGAAGCACGTTAAATCCAAAGATAATCCTGCAGACTATGCGTCACGTGGGCTTAACCCAGCTACGTTAAACTCGTGTGATCAATGGTGGAATGGACCAAAGTTTCTTTACGATGAGGAGGTAACTTGGAAGGTAAATACAATCAATTATTATGATGTTCAAGAAGAAAGAAAGAAGACAACGGTCGCTTTCACAGGCAAAACTGAGATTGAAGATCCTTTGAATATAAGAAAATCATCTTCATGGTTAAAACTTCAACGCATCCTTGCTTATTGCAGAAGATTTATCAACAACTGTAAGAAAGAAAAGAAAAACAGACAAATAGGACAGTTAACTCCAACAGAAACAAAACATTCAGCGATCTGCATTATTCGACATGTACAGCAGGTTTGCTTTAGAGATGTTTTTGAAGCAATTAAAACAAATAACTCAAAGCACAGATTACGCGCACTCGCACCATTTGTTGATGAGCAGTGCTGTCTTCGAGTTGGAGGTAGACTGCAGAATGCAAATATCAGTTTTGATGCAAAACATCCACTACTGTTACCAGAGAAACACCATCTCACAAAAATCATCGTGCAATATTTTCACAAGTTGCTGCTTCATCCGAGCATTAATCTTTTGATAGCTCAAATTCGACAACTGTTCTGGATTCCGCATACTCGAACTTCAGTAAAGAGGTATACTAAAGACTGTATGGCTTGTTTTCGAGATCGAGCTTCGGAAGAAAGTCAACAAATGGGTGTCCTTCCACAATATCGTGTTCAGCAACTGCGACCTTTTTCGAAGGTTGGAATAGATTACGCAGGACCATTTCCTATTAAGGTGTCACATGGAAGAACAACAAAACACTGGAAATCATATTTAGCGTTATTTATCTGTATGGCTACAAAAGCAGTCCATCTTGAAGTCGTAAGTGATTTAACAACTGCAGCTTTTATAGCAGCTTTGAGAAGGTTTACTTCAAGAAGAGGTAAGCCCACTGATATATTTAGTGACAATGGCACAAACTTTGTCGGTGCTAACAATGAGCTTCGGGAGTTACTGCAATTTTTGAATAAAGACAGTACTAAACAGGAAGTTATTTCAACTAGTTGTAATCAAGGTATAAACTGGCACTTTATTCCTCCTCATTCCCCACATTTTGGCGGATTATGGGAATTAAATATCAAATCTGCTAAGAAACATATGATAAGAATCATAGGCAATCAAATTCTTACTTATGAAGAATTAACTACTGTGTTTAATAAAATTGAGGCTTGTTTGAATTCGCGACCTCTGACACTAATCAGTGAAGATCCAAATGAACTATCAGCATTAACTCCAGCGCACTTCCTTCTTGGGGAAGACCTAACTTCTTTACCAGAACCTGATCTTCAGCATATTAAGTTGAATCGATTATCCCGATGGCAGTTACTCCAGCGCATGGTGCAAGACATTTGGAAACGTTGGCATTTAGAGTACCTGAGCCAACTACAAAATAGACCAAAATGGGCAGAAAAAAGAAGAANATCATTGTTTATTTAACAGAATCTAAATTAATCATGTACAGGTTAACCAACTCGCATAATCAACCCGCCTACACTCTGATTTAATCTTTAATTAAAGTCGTAATTTCTAAGTAAAATAGTCATTTCTTTACGTTAATTTAAAAAAAGTGTATTGAAATAATCATTAAATTTAATTGAAATTTAAAAATTTAATAGTTTTATAATGATTAAATTCCTAAAAACATTAACAAATAGTAAGTGTGTAACAAGACTTTCCATACTATTACAGTTTACTTTTTTACCTAAAGAGAGACCCAGAGGGCTTAAACCTCTTAAACTTGTAATAAATTAAGAAATTTAAATGTTACAACATTACTTATATACAATATTTAAGAGTCTATTCTTAATTCACAGTAGTACAGGGATGACTCTTGGTTTGTACGTTCTAAATTGAGTATACCTAATATCTCTTCTAGTTACGTTGTCTTCACCTTTTTTTAACATTAAATGCTATAGTTTTTGCCGTGTTATTGTTATTTTTAAATAGGATTATTAATGTAGAATTATATCTGATGGTGGCTACTTTATCTTCATTGTGTTTGTTGTATTCTCCCATCCTGCTGGAGATTCATCCATTTTGACGCTATCCAGATATTTTTGAGTAAAGTATTAATTTGTAGCTTCCTGCAAACAGTTTTGACAAGAAACATTTCTATATTATAGCTGTCATTAGTTGTTAAAGTGGGTGAACGAAGTCGTTCCCCCCCCCACAAACAGACATAAACACACAATAACACCCAAGCATAAATATTTAAACAACAACGTTTTTAAAGATATTCATAATAATTTAACATTATTTAACATAATAATGACATTAAACATTGTTCTGAGAACAATTTAAATGGAAACTTTTTAAAGTTAGTTTCTACTTTCGATCGTTGGATAGTAAAATTAATTACTTTCTCTGTTACTAATGATAGAAACAGCTCTTATGTAAATGAATTTTAAGGTCATTTAAAATAGAGTAAGATTGAAAAGTTTAAATATAACTTGCCAAGAATTCATTCTAATAAAGTTTTAAACATTTTAAAAACTTCAGAGAGAAAAAGTAATTTTTAAAAATATTTTTAATTGGTAACTCGTCTTAAAAGTAAAAATAAAAGCATTAAGATAACAACAAGAATGACCTCAAGAAATAAAGAAAAAAGAAAGATTAAGTAACATATGAGCACCCTTATACGAAGTTGATACGAGGAAAATTCTCCTCAATAAAAGGTGCAAAATTCAGCTTAATTCCAAAAACAGTATGGAGACATATAAACACGTGTAAACACTAAGTATTGATATAAAATATATAAACGTTCCCTATGATCGTTCAGTAGTTAAAACATTGTAGTGCTGAATCATCACCAAATAAAGCTGCATCATTTGTACAATTACTTTCGACGAAGCTAAGTGTTAGAAAGACCGATTACCTCATGTGGAAGATGAAAACTTCCACTAAATCCACAGCATCATCCATCATGAATTCCTTCGAGTGTATGGAGTATTCATCATCTTCAAGATGATGAATACTCCATACAACTTGATGAATGTATGAATACTCCATACATTCTTGAAGTCCGTATTCCAAGCCAACAATCTTCATTTTTATGTTCAAGTCCACAATCATCCAAGAAAAAATAATCTTCTGCATTGGCCCAGGTTGTTATTTGCTAATTGAACCTTGCAATTTGAGAGTATAATCAACGTTGAAAGGATTCTTCTAAGATTATCACACGGATAGGAAGAGGAAGATGAAGAAGAGTGTTAGGATAAGGCACGTGTAATCTGCCAAAGGAAAATACATCTCGGAAGGACATTTAATGGGAAAATGGCACCTATTTGGGTGCTAATTTATAGAGAATTATGACAGCATCAGTTTACAAAAATGAATTATTAATTAATTCTCTTAAAGTGCATTTTTTAATGGGTACGAGAATTAAATACACCTGCTACTTATCGACATCCTTCACTATAATGATCTAAAGTGTCAGAATTATCTAAAATATTACACTGTTTATTGATATAATTAAATATAATTGAATTACAAATTTTAATCATTTCTAATGTAAAAATAAAAACACTTATATCGTATTTAAACTTTTACAATTAACCTCCATATATAGTATTTTTCAGCATATAGGGCGTAGTTTTTTTTTAAAAATTCTTGTGAGAAATAAGGAGGCGCATTATACATGGGAAGTAACATAACTTTTTCTTTTGTGTATTTCACTTCAACTAAATAACTGAAACAATTCAAATTAAAATATTTTATTAAAATTTTATATCTAAATGATAATGGCAACAGTAAAAGAATGATCACTGTGTAATTATTATGCACTGATGTTTCATTTTGCCATAAGCAGTATAATTGGTATAATTTGATAGATTAGTTAATAAAATAAATTTCAGTGTTTTATATATCAACGTTTAACAGTACGATTATACGTCAATTCTATTACAAAAGCTACAATAGAAAATCCATATCCGGCCGCGAGAAGAATTAAACAACTTAAGACGTCGTCAATAGATAAAGGATGAAAATTGTCTTTAGCAATTTCTTTTGTAGACGGTGGAATAATCTCTGTCACCAACTTCTCGATAATACCGGTGTCTCTCATCCATCCAAATCTAAAAATAAGCAAGAAAAATATGTATATGTAACATATTACTTTTCATGTAAGAAATTAGGATCGTTAGAATTATAAGAAGAAGAAGAAGAAGGCATAGCTGATTTTATGGCTGAAATATGTAATGACACGTTGCATAAAAAACATTTGTCATGTATTGAAAGAAATTGTATAGTGTCAGTGTCTATAAGCAAACAACAAAATGTATCGACAAATCAAACTACATTTTGCGTTTCTTACACAATATAATTTTTTATTATTAAATAAACACGAAAAAAATATTCGTATGCTTTGAGCGTCATAACTACTCATAAAATTTCCTTAGAAATCGTAAAAAAAATAATAAAGATTAATAATACTTTTACGTTCCTGGCTGTTATACATAACAGAGGGCAAGTATAGCGATTGGTCAAAAAATGAGTTACAAGACCTTTACATTTTTGGATTTAGGACACCTTAAAACATCAAAAAATGCGAAAAAAGTTTATGTGCTTTTTCTATATCAGTGAACGTTAGTGTATGTGTGTGTGTTTGTGTGTGGGTGTGGGGGAAAAGAATCATTTGATTCACTGTTTCGAAGCCTAATAACTCATGTGCTTTTCGTCGAAAATTTATGAACATTTGTAGGGAGATATAACCATTAAAAAGTGGATGGTGGGGTGATGGATGTAGCCATCCCGCGGATATTATGTTTTTTTTTGTTATTTTCATATTTATGTTTTATAAATTTATTATTGTTTGAATACTCCATAATTTAATTATATCTAGCTTTTTTTATACGTTTTTTTCTACAACTGTAATTACTTAAATTATTAATAAACTAGCAGGTGGGCCCGGCGTTGCTCGGGCAAAAGTAACGATGAACAATGAACAGCTCAAGAAAAAGATTATGAAGAAGTAAAGGAAAAATATATTCAAGCACGATCCAAATTATCATCATTAATCGACGAAAAGGCTCCAATAACAGAGGCATCAACACAGGCATCACCGAGACAGTCGAATGCATCATTTGAAGGGCAGGCAATCTCCGCGTCGATAAAATTACCAAAAATTGAACTACCAACATTTAACGGAGATTATTTAGAATGGATCAAGTTTAAAGACTTATTTTCAGCAATAGTGCATAACAATGCAACTTTAACAAACGTACAAAAACTTCATTATCTTAAATCAGTTTTAAAGGGAGAAGCTGAACAACTCCTACACTCCATTGAAGTCAGTGATGGTAATTATACAGAAGCATGGAAGATACTGCAAGATAGATATGAAAACGAACGACAGATTATTAACAGTCATCTTAAGGCTCTTTTTCAACAGCCACGTGCAAGGACTGATTCAGCGAGTGAAATCAAACGACTGCTAGACACTACTGTAAAACATGTCAGAGCATTAGCAGTGTTAAAATTGCCGACAGATCATTGGGATCACATTTTGGTTTATACGTTAAGCAACAAACTTGATGATGAAACAAGAAAACAGTGGGAATTAAAGGCTACAACGACTACATTTCCTACATTCAATGAGTTGAAGCAATTTCTGGAGCAGAGATATCGTGCTCTAGAGATTTCCGTGAGCAATATGTGGAAACAAAGAACACAACAAAACATAGGAAAACTATCAAATACACTCAAAGCTCATAGTGTGACCGTTTTAAGTTGCCCAGTTTGCAAGGAGGCACATCATGTTTTTTACTGTCCAGCGTTCCAGAAACAGAACGTGAAAACTCGTAAGGTCACTATCAAGAATGCTGGACTCTGTTTTAACTGTTTTAAGGGTAATCACTCAGTGAAAGACTGTAAATCTACATCTACATGCAAGCATTGTCGTAAGAAACATAACACCATGCTACATGAAGACGAATCTCCCGCTCAAGTTTCAGCATCAAACGCAGCATCTTCTTGTATAACAGCGAATTGCAACACTAGTGAAGTGATTATTACACACCACGCATCTGAAACTCAACAAAAAACTGTCTTGTTAGCGACGGCAGTGGTAAATGTGATTGACTCGTTTGGAACCAAACATAAAGCTAGACTACTACTAGATAATGGATCGCAGTCATCATTTGTTAGTGAAGCGTTTGTACAAAGAACAAGATTGCCGCGAGAAACTGGAAAATTAAGAGTTATAGGTCTGGGTCAAACAGATTCTGGAGTTACGAAGGGTATAGTGAAGCTACAACTTCAGTCGATATATGACCAGTTCTCTTTACAAATTAACGCATTCGTATTGCCGAAGCTTACAGGTATTCTCCCAGCAGTAAAGGTTAACATTTCAGACTGGAAGCATATTAAGAATATAGATCTAGCAGACTCAGCATTCAACAAGCCTCGTGAAATAGACATTCTATTAGGAGCAGATTATTATCATGATGTCTTAACATCCACGCCAATAGTGAAGGAGTCAAACCGTCCTTATTTACAGCTCACAAGGTTTGGATGGGTAGTCTCAGGTCCTGTGGGTCAGCAACTTGAAGACAAGGTGATCTGCAACTTTGTTACGTGTAACACAGATAAAATACTAAAACAATTTTGGGAAATCGAAGAGGTAGAAGCTACACAAAAAATGTCGGCAGAAGAAACAAAATGTGAAGAACATTTTCAAAAAACTCATCGAAGACAAGAAAATGGACGCTATTCAGTCTCATTTCCCTTTAGGGAAGAAAGACCAACGTTAGGAGACTCCAAGCAGATGGCATTTCGTCGGCTTCAGGCATTGGAAAGAAGACTAGAAAAGGATCCGTACATTCGTACTCAATACAATGATTTCATGAAAGAGTATGAAAATAAGCACCACATGTCTGAAGTCTCGACTACTGAAGAGTGTTATTATATACCTCATCATTGCGTCATACGAGAAAGCAGCGAAACCACGAAGCTCCGTGTAGTTTTTGATGCCTCAGCCAAGTCATCGAACAATAAATCACTAAATGAACAAATCTGTGTGGGACCTAAAATCCAAGATGATATATTTGAAATCTTGCTTCGTTTCCGTACGTGGAAGATTGCTATATCGGCAGACATAGAAAAGATGTTCAGACAGATATCTATGAACAATGAGGATAGAAGATGGCAACGCATTTTGTGGAGATCATCACCAGAATTGCCAGTGAAAGAATATGAACTGAACACAGTAACGTATGGTACCACATCTGGTCCGTATTTAGCTACCAGGACCTTGAAACAACTGTCGATCGATGAAAGAGAACATTTTCCTGAAGCGTCGACAGTGGTTGAACGTGACTTCTACGTGGACGATTTAATGACAGGTAGAGACGAAGGCCAGGAGGCAGTTTATTTGTGTCAACAGCTTACAGAGATGCTAAATAAAGGACAATTTTATCTTCGCAAGTGGATCTCAAATGACAGGACAGTGATATCAGCCTTACAACAATCTGAGAGTACTGACAATCATCACATTAAGGTATCTGACTTAACGAAGGCCTTAGGTCTTAATTGGAACACTAAGGAAGATATATTTTACTTCGTGTTATGTAAATTCTCTAGTCAACCACCTACAAAACGTACTGTAATTTCAGACATCGCACGACTATTTGATCCATTGGGTTGGTTAGCACCAGTCACAATCAAGGCCAAAATGATGCTCCAACGCCTTTGGACAATTGGAACAACATGGGATGAATTGCTACCTACAGTCATTGCAGAACAATGGAAAGGCTTTAGGGCTGAACTTCAAACATTAACAGAAATAAAAATACCACGTCATGCTATTGACAGAAAATATCCACTTCAACTGCATGGGTTTGCTGACGCATCTGAACGAGCTTATGCTGCTGTCGTGTACAGCAGGCAACGAATTCAGGGAGAAATTGTAATCAAGATACTCTGTGCAAAGACTAAAGTGGCTCCATTGAAGGTTGTGACTCTTCCTAGATTAGAACTCTGTGCTATACAACTCTTAGCTAAGCTAATGCATCGAGTGAATCAACAATTGCAAATAAATAAAGAAGACATTTTCGCTTGGTCAGATTCAACTATAGCTTTGTCTTGGATTAAAAGTGAGCCTAGAAATTGGAAAACTTTCGTGGCAAACCGAGTAAGTGAGATTCAGACTTATCTTCCTCCACAACACTGGAAGCACGTTAAATCCAAAGATAATCCTGCAGACTATGCGTCACGTGGGCTTAACCCAGCTACGTTAAACTCGTGTGATCAATGGTGGAATGGACCAAAGTTTCTTTACGATGAGGAGGTAACTTGGAAGGTAAATACAATCAATTATTATGATGTTCAAGAAGAAAGAAAGAAGACAACGGTCGCTTTCACAGGCAAAACTGAGATTGAAGATCCTTTGAATATAAGAAAATCATCTTCATGGTTAAAACTTCAACGCATCCTTGCTTATTGCAGAAGATTTATTAACAACTGTAAGAAAGAAAAGAAAAATAGACAAATAGGACAGTTAACTCCAACAGAAACAAAACATTCAGCGATCTGCATTATTCGACATGTACAGCAGGTTTGCTTTAGAGATGTTTTTGAAGCAATTAAAACAAATAACTCAAAGCACAGATTACGCGCACTCGCACCATTTGTTGATGAGCAGTGCTGTCTTCGAGTTGGAGGTAGACTGCAGAATGCAAATATCAGTTTTGATGCAAAACATCCACTACTATTACCAGAGAAACACCATCTCACAAAAATCATCGTGCAATATTTTCACAAGTTGCTGCTTCATCCGAGCATTAATCTTTTGATAGCTCAAATTCGACAACTGTTCTGGATTCCGCATACTCGAACTTCAGTAAAGAGGTATACTAAAGACTGTATGGCTTGTTTTCGAGATCGAGCTTCGGAAGAAAGTCAACAAATGGGTGTCCTTCCACAATATCGTGTTCAGCAACTGCGACCTTTTTCGAAGGTTGGAATAGATTACGCAGGACCATTTCCTATTAAGGTGTCACATGGAAGAACAACAAAACACTGGAAATCATATTTAGCGTTATTTATCTGTATGGCTACAAAAGCAGTCCATCTTGAAGTCGTAAGTGATTTAACAACTGCAGCTTTTATAGCAGCTTTGAGAAGGTTTACTTCAAGAAGAGGTAAGCCCACTGATATATTTAGTGACAATGGCACAAACTTTGTCGGTGCTAACAATGAGCTTCGGGAGTTACTGCAATTTTTGAATAAAGACAGTACTAAACAGGAAGTTATTTCAACTAGTTGTAATCAAGGTATAAACTGGCACTTTATTCCTCCTCATTCCCCACATTTTGGCGGATTATGGGAATCAAATATCAAATCTGCTAAGAAACATATGAGAAGAATCATAGGCAATCAAATTCTTACTTATGAAGAATTAACCACTGTATTTAATCAAATTGAAGCTTGTTTGAATTCGCGACCTCTGACACCAATCAGTGAAGATCCAAATGAACTATCAGCATTAACTCCAGCGCACTTCCTTCTTGGGGAAGCCCTAACTTCTTTACCAGAACCTGATCTTCAGCATATTAAGTTGAATCGATTATCCCGATGGCAGTTACTCCAGCGCATGGTGCAAGACATTTGGAAACGTTGGCATTTGGAGTACCTGAGCCAACTACAAAATAGACCAAAATGGACAGAAAAAAGAAGAAACCTGCAGTACAATGATTTAGTTCTTGTCAAAGAAAAGAATATACCACATACAAAGTGGATTTTGGCTAGAATTATAAAAACTCACCCTGGTAAGGATGGACATGTCAGAGTTGTCGACATAAAAACAAAAGACGGATTATTTACTCGAAACATCAATCAGCTATGTAGATTGCCTGAAAACTCAAGTAATCTTGAAATCTAGGGATTTCAAGGTGGGCAGAATGGATGGTGGGGTGATGGATGTCGCCACCCCGCAGATATTAAGCATAAACACAAAGATCATTTATTACGTAACAAAAAGATTAATGATTAAAATTTAACAGAATCAAAGGGTATGAATGTACAGAGATACAGGGGGTCTTGTCTATCTCCAAAACGGTCAGACTTCATGACGATTTTACTCGTTATTAGCATTCAAAAATTTTTAAATATAACCTATCCTTACACTGAAAATTATGTTTTCTTTTAATTTTATAATAGATATGAATATAAAAATTATTTTTAATAAAATAATAAATTATAAAAATCGATGACAGCCTAAATATTACCATGTAAGTTAAACAACTCGTTGCTAGATTTTTTAAAATAGATTCATTAAGTTCCCTGAACATAACTTACATTTCGTCTACTTCATTTTTAAATTCAAACATCTTTTTTCTTGGATATGACACCATGTAATTCAATAAAATGTCTTTTGAATATGCAAATTTTTCTTCTCCTTTAATTCTAGCCATTGATTCTACTACACTTTTAGAATGGAAAAAAGCATATTTCGTGTCTAGTACACGTTGAAAAGCATCGTCCAAATCAGAAAATAAATTTTCAGGATATTTTCTTAAATGGTCACCAAGAACTTTGACATTTTTCTCATTCGTTTCCTAAAAATAATTCGTCAGAGAATGATCAACTGTTAAATTATGTAAGCAATTTTTTAATAAAAATTTTGAATACTCTCAGATTGTTTGAAAATAAAAAAACACACGATTATGAAATAGAGTTAATTATACCAAGATATAAGTTTCCATGGCCGAATCTTCTGTTGTTCCACAAGAATATTCTCCTTTCATCACAGAATCTGCAAGTTCTTCAATAGTTGTAGGTATCGATTCGTATACAGGATAAGTCATAATGGAGAAGAGAACTCCACAATAACCCGATATGAGGACTACTGTTATTAATAACCAGGCACCAATTGTGATTCTAGTTGTGCTGTTTCTGATGTGACCTATTTTACCACCTGTCAATTATCATTGCAAATTATTAACGTATACTTATTAATTATATCACAATGGCGATTTTTATCCACGTGAATATAGACATTTTTCTTTAAGAAATATGCAGTAGATATATTACCTTGAGATATCAAAGTGGAGAAGAGAAACCAAAATATTTCGTTGATAGGCCATGATTGTTTATCCTTCTGGTTTCGTATCCATTTTTTTGAATGAATTAAATACAGAGCTATTCCTGTTATAATTATAGCAGTAAAAAGTGCTATCCAAACCTAAAATTAAATATTAATACTATATTAAAACACGGAAGAAATACAGTAATTTGAAGTAACGTATTTAATGTAAAGAATTAAAATGAAAGTAAAAACGTGATGTAACGTTTTGGTTTCATTTTAGTTATGTAAAATTATTTAATAAAACAAAAACAGTAAACAATAATGTAACTTGGTTAATTTTCATTAAACATAAACAGTGAAATTGGCATGTTGGTCCAATATTTGCATCTGACGTTGGGAAATTTTTCATGTCATTTTTATATGTCTAGGTTAAAATTGGGTAAAGTTGCTCAAGTCATACCTCATAAGAAAAATCATATATAAATTGTATTATTCATTAAATAACACGCCATCGTCAAATTTTAATTTTTTTTTTTTCAGCAGTATAAGGTGTTTCTGACAATATTTAAGATTCATATATCCACTTATCGCAATAAAAAAATTTGAGTCTTTACAAACTTACCGTAATTGTAAAGGGTCTAAATATAGTTCCTAATTTAGAAACTTGTTTCGGAGAAGAAACAATAAAAATGGCTTCGTCAGTGGCAACAGTAACACAGAAATCCACAACCTTATAACGCTCGTGCGTAATATATAATGAAGTCACACTAAAATCCGCTTCCTAAAATTAAAACGAGATAAATTTAATTTTGTTTGCGAAATGAGGTAATTATTTTGGTTGTTTAACATTACTTCTCGTTGCAGTCTTCCATAAACTCCATTCCATGATCCATTTTCGTCTTCTACACCAACTACTGTTTCAATTTGAACTATTTCGTAACTGAAAAAATGTTTGATTTTTAAGTAAATAAAATTAATATTAGTTTAAGGAAACATAACTTTTAACAAATAGATTAATTTCTTACCTTACACAATTTAATTTATCGAACAATAATTTAATTATGTTTACGTCAACTCCGTCCACAACTTCTTTTTTTTTCTTTGTCTAGGTCAACATAGAATGGCATCTATAACACAAGTATAAAAGTAAGTAAATTAATTAACTTATGTAAACCTTCAAGAAAAAAACTTACCTCAGCTGCAACCATTTTTATTATACTTTCATTTTTACATATTGTACCACCTAATCCAAATTAATGATAAAGATAATTTTAATCAATTATGATGTCAGATCTATCATTTCGGAGTTTAGTAAGTATAAAATGCAAGGAAAAAAACAATGAACTAAACGTAAATAGTGCTGATAATAAATTTAATTTAAACGAATATTTATCGAATTTTTATACTGAATGAGGCATTTAATGTATCATTCACATAAAGTACATTCCATTGTATATACGACGATACCTTTTATATTAGGCATAAAATGTGCTAAAATATATATATTATTCAAGTCTGTATGTTACCTCATGTTTCAAGAATTAAAAGAAAGTCTATAGCATGGTCATAAATAGAAACAGTACATGTGTTATTTTTGAGTTTAAATTAAAAAAAAAAGAACTGTTTTAAGTATAGACATCTGCAGCGTGTAGATACAAACAACAAAACACAGTATATCGTTCTTCTATATACCTCATATTTTGCAGTAAATTAAAGTTATTCATAGCATAAGTAACCATACATACATACATAAAAGAAAGACATCGACCGTTCACGAAAAGTTTAGGCGACAGAAAGTTGGTAAGGGAAAAGGCATGGGAAGAAGGAGGGAGAGGAGATAGACCCAGAGAAATGTACTCCTGAACAGCGTACATTTGGCTACAGTACTCTTTATATTGACGGTGGCATGCAGTTTTAAGGAATCAATCCCGTACTTTCCCGAAGGGTCTAAAAAACCTGAATGTAGCAAACACCAATAATTGAGCGTTGCCAGGAATAGTTAAAGTGTAGATGTTAGTGCCAAATGGCTGTTAGTAGGAAGATATACCTACTTAATACGAACAAAACTGAACGCGATCGTGAATCTTAATATTACTTAACAGCTAGACAGCAAGTGCAAGAAAGCAAACGAATACATGACAAACTAGGCGAGACAAATGAACCCACAGAAATAAATTAGCAAGACACCAATTTTTTTTTATAACATTAACTTACTTACATTCTTAAGTAACCTACCGTAATCTAAAACGTACCTAACCAGACAACTAGAGCAAACACACCCGAATCTAGTTTAACCTAACCTATCTAATATTAACTAATCTAACTTACAACTAGGACTTACTTAAACTAACTGAATTTAACTAATAAAAGACAGGAAATAAGGATTAAAATACAAAATTGAAAGGCAGCTATATATCGACAGTTGAAACAAAGCAAGAGAAAGCTAAGTGATATCCGTGCTCCAGGAGAGAGTGCTCTCAAGAGCCTCACTAGGAGATATCAATGCGAGTAGATGATGGAACATTGTACAGTACATGTGTGAATGAGTTGGTGCGAATTGCAAGGCCAGTTGTACTCTTCAATAATAGCAGCTCCCATTAAGCTATACCTAATGTGATTGTGTCTGTTGCAGCGAAAAATTAAGTGAAGTGGTGTTTGGTCTTCCTGAATACCACAATCGCATTGTGATTTGTCTCCAAGTTTAAATCTATGCAAGTATTGCTTAAAGGTGCTATTTCCTTTAAGTAGCTGAGTGAGGGTGTAACTACAGTAAAAGTGGCGAAGACTCACAGTGGTGTCAACCTTGGGGATGAAAATGTATATGAGCCTACTAGTGGTGTGACGGTTTTATCTGTTTGCAGAGAATGAAGTTTTGCTTTTTGACATGATTGTTGATGCACGAGGTAGGAATATAACTCAAAGTACAAATGACTACAGCCTTTGCAGCTTGTTTAGCAACCTGGTCAGCAATCTCACTGCCAAGAACCCCGCAAGAACCAGAACCCATTAGAATTCTATTTTAATCTTGTTTTCTAAGTGTCTGAGAATGTGGTGTATGAGATGGAAGAGTTCGTAGTGGCTATCAGACTGTGGTAATACTTGGTGGAACTATTTTTGTCATGCTACAACAGTTCGTGTTTGAACCTAATACACGTTATTACATTTATCGAGTTTACTGAAACTGGAAGGAGCTTACATTTTTCTACTGGACTGTTTTCTGCATCAACTCTACATCAATCCATGTGTGAGATCCGGAAGGCCCTAGGCCTCATTTAATAATTTTTATTAAATATGCTTAAATAATGTCACCAAATAATACTTCGTTTTGGTGAGAAAAATATTGTTTTAGACGTGGGAAAAACTAGATGACAAATGTTATTTCCTTTCATCGAGGAGAACATCCGCTGTTTTTCCCATATCTGGTTAAAAATCTCGCTCCGATGGGAAATGGTTACCCCTCATTCATCCCCCTCTCATCCGTTCTCACGAAAGAGTTACTATACGATGATTGGACGAAGTTTGGAAATAAAAGGAGAAATTAGTCATAATTCGGGGAGTCCTCCGACCGATTTGAAAGTGTCCAGACTCCACATACGTTTCCTCCTGATGGCCAACGCCCATAACGGAGCCCGATAGACNGTTGGAGGTGATCTCCTCAATTAAACTTAGGGATCTTGTGGTTTGTTTAAAATTCGACTGCAGCGGATTGTAAATTATGATAGTTTCCTGGCTATTCACTTTTGGTCTTGCACCTTGTGGTCATAATTGCACATCAACAGAACAAATGTCACTTAAGAAGAAATTCTTTTTCACTTTCTTCTGGACTTTACTGTGACTAGTGGGACTGTATACTACTAATTGGACTGCACACTGTGTTAACGCCGTACCACTTTAAGCATATTGGTGGTTATTGTGTTTGCTGGACTTTAGTTGGTGCAGTAGTATACTTGGCATCTTTGTGTACATTTTCTTGTGGCTGACACTCTGGGTAATCCTGTAGGTTCTACTGGTGGAGATATACTTGACGCACTGTCACTGTTTCTCTGTGGTAATACCTGGTGGAACTATTTTTGTCATGCTACAACAGTTCGTGTTTGAACTTAATACACGTTATTACATTTATTGAGTTTACTGAAACTGGAAGGAGCTTACATTTTTCTACTGGACTGTTTTCTGCATCAACTCTACATCAATCCATGCTTTGTGGTGTACTTGTGTATTATATTATGTGTTCTATTCTTGTGCACCATTATCATATGATCGTCTAGTGGTTTCCTTGCTATTGAAATAACTGTGGTGTGGACGAAGTTTCTTCAACTTCCAATGAATATAAATGATGCAGCGTGAAGACAATCCTTCAACTTCTGGTGGCTCTTACTATGTCGGAATATTACGCACAGATGCTTGGCGGAGTTCAGTGGTGTTGAGAACATTGTTCAACTTCCATTGCTCAACTACTAGCGGATTTTCTGTGGCCGAAACATAAGTACTTTGGTGCAAATGATTATTACTACTTTACACTATACTGTCTTATTATTATATATTATAGTTTGTATATATACTCATTTCTATATATGTATCATCTATAATATCTTTGCACTTCTGCTGTTCGCTTCTTTTATAATTTGTTAACTTGCGCTTAATTGTTGTGATTCTAATTTTATTTTATCTTCGTTACTTTAATTGTTACTGTATATTTTAAACTATCTTATTTTTCATAAAATTTTACTTGTATAATTATATATTACCCCTGTATAATATCCTTGTTGCCCTCCCATCATTGTACAATTTTACTCTTAATGTTTATTAATATGCTGTATTCATTGTCATAATTAGTTAGTGTTTTTAAATCCTGATAATGCTCAGCAAAATCAGGAAATGTAACTTATGTTATTTTAATAAAATGAAAATGAATGAATGAATGAATGAATGAATGGCTATCAGACTTTGCAGTCCTGTGTAAAGCTATCTTACTGTCAGAATAAATGTGAAATTGTAAGTGGCGTCTTTTGTCCTATCTATGCCTAATGTGAATTATACTCATATAAATAGCTAAAGTTTCCATCTGTGCTATTGAACAGTGCGTACCTAGATGGAAGCAAGCGTTTTGAAGCTCGCAGCCTGAGTCAGAGTAAACTACAAAAGCGGCACCTATATTGTCACCAATCTTGGTAAGTCAGTGTAAATCCTAAACATGAGATGATCATCTGGATCTTCGAAGTAAATGTCAGTGGCAAGCTGATAGAAGGGACGTATTCATAAGTTAGAAGAATATTTTCGTCCATGCTGAACTTTTTGATATTATCAATCAAGGTCAAACTGGAGAAATCATACCTATTCTAACCATTTTGTTGATTTCTGGGTTGCTGCAATCTTGCCAGGGTAAGATGACAAGATTTTCCTGCCAAATAATGCATTTAATTTCTTAGTCGATGTGGGTCAAATCTGACATTACCAAAAGGGCACTATTGGGTGCGGTCCTATAAGCCTTACAAATGCAGAGATCTGCAATCTTTTGAACACATAAGAGTTTTTTTATGGTTATGGACTTTGGCAGCCACGTGGCCTCAGACCTGTATGGTATAGAGGAGTGCTGACTCAGTTGCACCTTTCTAAATAAGCTTAGTAACAGTAGGGCCAAGGCCACATATGTTCTTAGGAACACTAATAAGGGCATTGGCCGTCTTTTTAGCTTTTTCCATTATTTAACTGATGTGGGGTGCAAATTTAAGTTTCTTGTTAAGAATAGCACCTAAATATTTAATTTTTGTTGTTTGCATTATTCTGTTTGCACCTATTTGAAAGTTAAGCTTCCTGACAAGTAGCGCATTCCTACCAAGTATCATGCTTTCGCATTTGTCTATGTTAATAAATTGCCCATGCTTAATACTTAACTGATGAATGTTATTGAGAATGTCGTTGCATATGTCCTGTAAGCATTCATCGTTTCTGTGTGAATATAGTATAGTTGTGTTGTTTGCATAGCTTTGTATGTGTCAGCAAGGAGGCAGGGTGCCATTTTAGTGCAGGATAGAGTTATAAACTATGTTTCAGAGACCAGGACCAGACGTGGATCCCTGAGGATAGCCTCGAGTGATGGATATGACTATGTTATTTTGTGTTGTATAAACACCTGCACTCCTGTCGCTGAGATAGGACTGAAGAAGTTTGTAATAATTATAATGGCAATGATGAGCGTGTAATGTGT